AACTCAGACAAAAAAGTATATACTTGATCCAAATTCTTACTCTAAAAATAACTCATAATTATGTGTCATTTGCCTCCTGCCTACACCTCTTAGTAGGTCCTAAAATATCAAAATACTAAGCTAACACAGCTAGCAGGACAAATCCCATTTATGTTTGACAAGCATGGTTTAAATAGTTACTGTGGAAATAGTTACTGTGGAAATAGTTACTGCAAGGAAAATTTGACATGGTTTTACAAGCAGAATCTGTCAATCTAATAGCTCATCTTTTTGAGTTTAGTGCTTTTCTAGTCTTGAATGTTGGGGCTTTCCCATGAATAAGTAAGTTTATTAGCTGCAAATGTTCTTCTCCTATAAAAACAATACAGACAATTAACCTATTCATATCCCTGAACTTTCTCTGATAACACAGTACTTATATATGTATGACTCCTATCATATCACAGTAATAAATCTTTTTGATAAAAAATTGTACATAATAGAAGCAAAAGAGGAAGGGGGTGTGGGTAGGGAAAGCCAAAAGCTTGCAAGCATCAAGTTATCTTACCCTCATCCTGTATCTCAGCAGATCTAATAAGGTTCATTATATAACCTTGAGAGTCAGCTACTCATTTATTTTTCTGACTTGCAGCAGCTCAGTCAGTTTTATAGTTATAATATTGATTTACAACTGCAGGAGGAATTTGGTCCTCTACATATTTCAGGGGGAAAAAAAAATCCATTCATGGTGAGGAAACACAATGTATTTTTCTTAAATGTGGACACATACAGACAGGAAAATGTTCCAGGGGCAACTGTCTGAAATAACCAACATACAGTGTTAAAAAAAATAAACAACCAACCAACCTACATCAACCCAGATCTCCTTCAACAACTGGAGTTGAGTCTGAGTAAATTAGCCTTTTCAAAAGAGCTGAACAGCCGTATTCACCAGTTTAAGAAAAATCTGCTTAACTAAAGAATAATTTATCTTTAAACCTTCTTCTATATTTCATTTTATTACTTTTTATAATATGAAGGGTATAAAATACATGCTTAGACAGAAGCATCATAATGTGTCACAGAGAAGTTGAGAGGACCACCTGGATAAGACTGAAGAGTGCTGGCTTCCAGATCAGATGTAAGCAAGCAGTGAAATCTAGTCGTATAATATCTAATGTGTTCTTTTGCCTTCTGTAGTTGGAAAATGTTAATATTGAAATCTCTGAAAGAATTCTTCAGAAGGAGAAATGTCATGCAGAGTATTTGCATTCACTGATACAATGATGTAACTGCTGGATGGATCAGTCTTGGCAGACATTATTTATTTTGGCTTTCACAATAAAATGAAGTATTCAAAACTTCTGGTATACCACATCTGCTTATCTGGTTTCTTCTAGTTCATGGTATTTTCTTTAAGCACAAGAAGCTTGGTATGCCTCTCAAAATAATCAGAAATCTATGCTAAAAAGGACCACAGTTTAGAGTTCTACAGAAAGAAAATGGGGAAGAACCATAACATACCATAAGGTCTGTTTTATTTCTGTGGCTTTCCAAAATACTTACCCATCAATGACAACAAATATATCAACCAGACCAGTTTTCAGACCAGTTTCCTTTGATGCAGAGTACTATGGCTCCATAGCTCTTTCTGTAGCAAAGAAATCAAGAAGCAGGCCAAGATAGACCAACTGCTACAGATACAGATCCAACTATGAGCATGACACATCCTGATAGTGTTGGGGTGAGATGTGGAAATGCAACCACCTGTTTTGCATGCTGCTTCCTGGGCAAATGAAATTAAAGTGCTCAGGCAGAAACCACAGCGTTCCCTGAGTTAGCTGGTGATCTAGCTGATCAGCAGACAATGCATGCATAGACAGTCTTTTGTTTTTAATTCTTGTATAAAGGTTATTTGCAGTTTGCTGATTTTCCCCCAAAGCTGTTTCTGCAGAAAGTGAACATGAAGCTGATGCTGTCACTCCTTTTTCTTCCAGTATGAGTCAGCTGAGCAGAATACATGGGGCTTATCCACAGTCAAGTCTCCATTAACATAATCTCAGTCAAATGAGTAGCCCTAATTCTTTCATCAGCATTAGTGGCACACATTCCCTACAGATATAACTGCTGTGTTGATCATCAAAATGTTATCGACATGCGAAAAAACTATCTGGTTAAAAAGCAAAGAGATCCTCATGACCTCCATGAGTGACAGCATATCGGCCTGGAGAATGGTTTGATACCAAAAAGTATCCTAGCAAATTCTAGATCTTTGATAAAGATCAACATCCACCTGGACCAAGATTTTTGCTGGTGAAATATGGGCGAGTGCTGAAAAAAGTTGGGAAATGGAGATCCAGAGCAGAGAGTTTTAAGTGAAAAGGGAAAAGCAAATTAGGTTTTGAGCCAGTAACAGTTGGTAAGTCAGTCTCAAAAATACAATTTCTGAACATCCAAGTAATACAGAGTAATGATGTCTACAAACTGAACGATAAAGACAGAAGAGGAAGAAAGAAGCCTTGGTGGTTTGATGGGTAAAGATGATACCCTTTTGATTTCTTACCCCAAACTCTGTATCCATATAAATTGTTTTTATAAAAGAACAAACTAGGGGTTTTTCTCCTTGTTTTTCCAAGGCTGATGTAGCCAGGCTTCCAGGGTTTCTGGTAAGTCACAGGTTTGTAACTCTTTGACTGAGTAAACTGATTAGATCCAAGGGGCCAAAACTGATAATTATGGCTTCAAACAACTATGTGATGAAGCACAATCATGAAGTTTTATTATCTCAGTGCAAAAGCTCTGACTGAATTTATATAAATGTTCTGCAACTGTCATGTGAATAGTGGTTCTGTAGTTAATTTATTATTAAATATGTAACTACAATTTCAAAACCTAAATTCAATTGCTGAATTGAAATAAAGAGGAAATGTAATTTTGCATCAAGGAACAAGTTCAATGCAGCTTTAAATGTGGAGTTGTCTTCAATTTATTTATAATTCAGTAAGTGCATATGGACTATTTAAATACCTTTTGATACCCAGCTTGTACATATAGGCTTTGATTTCAAGGGAAGTCTGAGTTTTCCTATAACAAGAAAGACAGGAAATATAGTCTGAATAGTAAACAAACCTCAGTGGGATCAAAGCATTAACCATTCTCTGTGTCTCTTTAATTACCACTAACAGTTTGAGCTACTGCAGTCACAGAACCGATCATATAATTACCTGCTTTAGGAGGCACTTCCTGTATTTTACCATGTTTAAAAACACACTTCTGCAAGCAAACACCAAAAGATGTGTCACAGAAAATATGAAGTTAGGAGTAAGACTGCTTTATTATACTTGTAATAAACAACTATCCACAAGTTCCAAAATGCAAAACAATCTCTTAAAAAATATGAAGTACATTCATTGATGATATGATAGAGAATAAATAATTTTCAAGTGCTGATGCTCTGCCTTAAGTGTCTGACTGCATAGGTGCAAAAAAATAGGCTTATTTCCTACAAAGTAAACCCTGACTTTACAGAAAATCAGACAAGCTGTTGTCATTCTTGTATCTTTAAAAACTTGGTTGAATTAAAAAGTAAATGTAGCTTTACTTGGATAACACATAACATGGTAGACTATTGTATCAGGTATGTAAAAGAGTGCCAGTTTGGGTTTAATCTCCATTTTAACATGCTCAGCATACCCAATGCGCTTTTCTTTTTTAGTTGCAGATCAATAATATAGAAATAGGAAAAAAAGAGTTCAGTTTTGTCTTATTTAAAGGTGTGCTGCTTTTTTTTTACAGGTTATTCACAAAATACAAGCAGTCTGATGCTTGGACCTAAGGATGCTATGCCTAAACTTATAGACATTGCTTTCTGAAAATGTTATCATTGCTGTGATACTTTACACAAAATGTAATTCTTGTTCCAAGAAGTAAAGTTAATTTATAAATTATAACAATTATGTATCTGCTTTCAAAATCTTTACCCTAATATTTCAGTACATATAGGACTCTTGTCTAGTGAAACCTAGCACTACCATAGAGTAATTATTTACTGCAAAATTTATTCCATGATCAATTGAGAAAAAGTATTTGTCCTTTCCAACTCTAACTGTTCTATGATTCTATGATTCTTGAATGTGACTATTAATTAAACAGACTAATTAAGTTCTTGTAGAAAAAAATATATGTAAGAATCAAATTGAATACTCTGGTTATGTTACTGTCCTATATAGCAATGCAGACAGCATTGACAATTTCCAAAAAGACAGTTGCATCTTTTGGAAATGATGGAATTCCTAACTGTTAAAAAATTCATAATCAGATCAGTCTGAGAAACTCAATAAGGTTCCAAAGGCAGAAAGGCCCTGGATGTATAGTCAGACATATCAAGCAATCTGATTGATGCATGGCAGGGAAAGATTGTTCTCGTCTCTGGGATATGCTGAAAAGAGCACTTCAGCTGAAGCACCTCAGATGAGGTAGGGTAAAGAAGTACGCTCTGCACAATTCTGTTTGAAGCTGTTCCTGTACAGCTGTTTGACCTGTATTAGTTTGACAATCAATATTGTCAATATTGTAGGTGTATCAATTATTTGTTATTTAATGCGTATGTTTGTGTGGGCATATTGCTAGTATGTGCTCACAGACTGAGCAATAATTTCAAGGTCCTTTCAAGTTTTATGGAAATGTCTGGTTTGATTAGTTGTTACTTCCCAAAAAGGAAGAATTCAAATATCTTTATAATTCAAACATCAGTAATTACTTTTTAATGCCATTTCTTTACACAACCATGCTCAATGTCATACTTCTGTTAAATGATTTTATGATGCTGCTTCCTGTTAGATAATGCATATCCCTTCAACAACTTTAATTATACAAAATGGCCAGTGTTCTGAGGGCCTCAGGCTCTCTCAAAGATGTGGATTTCTTAGCTTAGACTAACCTATTGACTGTTCCTTTGTGCTACCAGCTTCTGCCCGTCTTTTGATGCCTGATGGTTGTTTTTTCTTGTATTTACCCTGCAGGGCTCTATGAAAACTATCCAACCAATGCAGAACCAGAATGCTGTGATGTCAGATGGGGACTATTATCAGATCATCAATCCAAAGGGACTATAAAAACAAGTGGCTCAACAATTTGTCACAGGACATCACTCACAGTTTCATCAGCATCGAGACTGTGTAACAGCAGACTTAAACTGTGTGTTCTTGTATTAATGCTCTTACATACAGTACTTACAGTCTCAGCAGCACAGAACTCAACAGGACTGGGCATAACAACTTTAGAAGATAATTCAACCAATGAAGAATAAAAGAAAGGATTCATCTTATATGATAGAAACACAACAGGCCCAAATGGCTTCAGTCAAAAATAGCAAGGACTGAGTACTTTACCCTCAGATCTCTTCTTGATTGACCTTTTGGGTAAAATGAAAAGAATGGGCCACTACCCAAATAACAAGGACACATGAACACAGCTTTTTATTGACTAAAAGGCTGTTTTGTGACTTAAATTTCTCACACCATTTTATACACTGTGTTTTAATGTTTGGAGTTTCTTTTTTTGTTTGTTTTTTGCACTTGTTAATACAGGATTTTATTTTTTGGGACAGTTTCTCAAAGCTAAATTAAGTCTTTTCTCTGTCAATATATTTCTAGTCATTGTGTCTGTTCATCTGATAGTTCTGTCTTTTATGTCCTGTCAGTTTCTATTAGAGGAATGACTGCTATGATTCCATGACATAGCAAAAAAACAAAAAAAACCCAAACAAAAAAAAAAACAAAAAACCAAAAAAACCCAAAAAAACCTACAAACAAGAAAAAAAAAACACAAAAAGAACAACAAAATTTAACAAAAAATAAAAAAGAAGAAAAAAAACGAAAAAAAAAACCAACCACAAAAAAAACCAAAACAACCTAACTGTCCTCTTACCCATGGGAGCCATTCATCTCCTTTCCCCTTCCCTTCTCCCGTCACAGACAACATACATTTGCTTCTGTCTGTGTAATCACAATGAATGGGTACACAATTCCAGTGTGCCTCTGCCACTTGCACAAACCAGTTGACTGAGCAAACCCAAAACGAGCATGAAGGAGGTTCCTTTTAGCTGAACAAACAAGTGCTCTCCTTACAAGGTGAGATTGGACAGTTAAAAAATGTAAAGAAATATATAACAAACTGTTGCTCCAATACCCGTTTTGAAGAAGTCCAGTCCTTTCTCACTGGTCAGTTGAACAGGAGCAGCCTTTTTTAGATATGCTATGTAAAACCAGTTATGCTCAGCAAGTTGAGTAGTTGGGAAGCCTTCATATTGGAGGTGAAGGATTGGCATTCATTGTGAATTACGTTTTGAGTTCTCCTGCTGTCATATAACCAGCAGCTTTCATGAAGAATGGGAGTAAAAAGCTTCCAAAATCCAAGTCTTTTTTTCTCAAAAAATTACACTAGAAGCCTTTGAGCATCTACAATACAAAGAATCTTTTCGGTTTTGAGTTCATTGTTTTTCTAGTATCTACGTGTTGTGGAAAGTTAATCTAGCTATTAAGGGTGCACAAGAATGTGTTAGCACAGATAAAGAAACTTTTTTTTTTTAATATATTGACAACCATTTTCATAAATGTGCAATAAAACTAGTAAGAATATTCCAGGATATGAGTAGTCAAGACAAAAGATTGTAATATGATTGCTGATTTTTCATTGTTTGGGGTGATTTTTAATTTTTTTTACTTTTGTGGGAACATTTCACCTGCTGAGTGTATGAGAATTTGCTTTTTAAAAAGGCTTTTTAGAGTTTACAGTAGAATCAATGGAAGGAAAAGTTAATAAGGGCTGTTTTTAAAAACTTTACATTCCTTCCTATTCTCTAACTACACTTGGGAAGTGCACTTTAGAGATGTTCGCTGTGTAGCTGGGAGACGAAGGAAAACTATAGAAAATGTTCTCTTAGGAAATAAAATATAGTTACCTACTTTCTAGATATGAAATACCCCTTGATAAATACTAATGTTGTAAGAACAATTAATCACTGGTGCATAATGCTTTTTTGTATACACTTTATGGTCTGTTAAATTCTGGAGAAAAAAAAAAAGATGACCATGCTGCTTAAGCGGTTCAAGATGCACATGTTAAGCTGCAAAAGCTCAAATATTTTGCAAAAGTATTTGTTTTGATAGTGTTTTACTACAGCCTGGACTGAGGAGCCTAAAATGACCTGTGCAAACATGGCAACAAAAAGCACCAGCTAATGCAAAATTCTTCAGCACTGGTTTGTTTCTATAATTCCTCCCTTCCCTTCCTTACACATGCTACATTTTGTTCACTAAAACATGGTGCTTTTTATTTTATTTTCTGTTAGAGGCACATGTATTAATTATATTAAATTGATGCAGAATTGGGGAAAATGTAGAAATGCAAATGAAAAAGCCTTAACTAATGGTAGAATGTAGACTTTTGAGAGGACAGAGATGTTATTAAAAAGTGATGGAGCAATAACTGGGCAGTGCTCTGGTACTGTACAACAGCTGATGAGTCACACTACTGGGAAAGCTCTTAACTAGGTGAGCTCTTGTTCAACTGACCTCTTAATTCTAGTAAGTGTACATGGTCAGTAAACAGTTTGTTATAACTTTTATCTACCTCTGCTGTGCAAAGGCCATCCGACATCCATTTTTGTGATGTTTCTCATCTTTTTGTTCACACCGTTACTCACTGTCATCTATTTTTACACTGTACCAATAGAGTAGCAAGTCTGGTTCATCCCGATTGAAATGGCACAGGAAGAAGAGTTATTATTTCTGTTTTGCCTCATGGTGAATTATAGAGAGTTACACTTAAGACATTTTCTTTCTTCTCTCCTGCTCTTTTTCAGCCTTCATCCCTTATTTTTCTAGTAAAATGTTTTCGAGTCGTGTCAGTGAAAAATATGACTCCTCCACTGCTAGGCTACATTCAGTCGCGTGTCATACGAGAGACATAAGGAAAAACAGTGACAACATCATCACATGCAAAAGTAGCCAATTAAACTGAGGCAAAATGAAGCAGAAAACAATTACAGACTTTTAATTATTACACAAGATGTAATAAACTCCTCTCCCTCTCCCCACCTGGAGTTAGTGCCTGCAGTTCAACGGTCTGTGAATTTTCTCTGTTATCTTTTTGAGGTCTATCTCTTTAATTTTTTGAAGCAGAGACTCATGTTGCAGAGGTGACTACTGCTGGGGAGTCTGTTGCCATTTTCACTCCAGCAGTGTGGTATGCAGTTGCTCTTGGTGGCAACTGGGACATCAGGAGTAGAAGAGGACTATTCTGTGAAGTTAAGCAACATGTAATCATGTATGATGCAAAATTCCATTCCATCCATTCCTCATTCGTAATAGTTTTCCTGGCATAAACCTAAGCATGCTTGATATTGTGCACATATTACTTTTTTTCCAGAATAAATTTGCATCTTGCCACTTTCAACTTCCATCTTGTTCCATTTCTCCTTGTACTGTATGCCTAATACATACATGATAAAGAACTGGCTTAACAAAGGAGTAATACTAAAATATTTCTGCCAATGACTGATGAGAAGAAAAAGGAAAAATAGAATATTTATTTTATGATCATATGGAAGAGAGAAATTTCCCATGTCTTTCATGTCTTATTTTCTGCAATAGGGAAAATCCAGATTTTGTGCAATATGTTAATACTGCTAAGCCAAATGTCATATAACATAACCAGAGCTATATGTTATACCTTATTGCGTTTGCATTCGGTAATACATTATATTGATGCTTTTCTTTCATTAAAGAGACAGTATCTTTTTTTTTGAAAATATAGCAGGTGAAGGCTGTCCTTCTGCATGTCATAATTTAAAGACAAAACCCAACAAAACTTTAGAATGAAGTTTTAGTTCTATAAATGGTGAAACCAAGCCATCAGCTGCCAAAGAATCTGTGGAATGATAGATACAAACCAAACATAGACTGTCAAGAAATTCTTTCTCAAGGTTTAAAAATAATGTTATTCTAAGTGATTAGAGAGGAAAGAATAAGAGCTGTATTTCAAAAGCAGAGATGTCAGGTTTCATTAGGTACACGATGTGGCACTCTGCTTATATAGTTACACTCTTCTGTTAAAAAGTGAGGGACGAGGACATTGTCTTCTGCTCTCTCTGTATTTGCCATGATAATGGATATCCTTTTTGTAAACGTTGCCTCTCTGCACAGAAGATACCTGCTTATGGTGAGAGCTGAAGACAGCTTATGTATATGCACACAAATTGACACAGTGAAACCTGTCAAGTGACTATCCAAAGCACAAGCAAAACTCACCTGCGGGATAGAGGTAGCTTTAAGGAAGGAAACAAATTTGTCTTAGGAAATTTCAGGATTTTTCCTTATTTCAGCTTTCACTGTATTGTTGGTGCCATCACCCTGTGATGAGCCCTGCGCAGGCAGGCTTCGAGCTGGGCTCAGGTGCATGCTGACTTCAGTGGGCCTTGATACAGGTACAGGCATGCACCCACAACAAATTCACTGTAGCACATAGGTATCAGTTTGTTGTCCCATAGTCTTTACTCAGGAATTGCTCATGGGCAGAGTGCATCAACAGAGGATCACTGGGTTCAGCCCTAGCCAACTGAGTCTTAACAAGAGACTGGCAATGGCATATTAACGGTGAACAGTTCTGTTTTATTGTTATTGTCTACCATTATATTAGTTCAGGGAAGGAGTGGTTTCAAACTTTAGATAAGAAAACAGTGGACAAATTAACAGAAACCTTGTCGTTGCAGAGATGAGATTCAATAGCCTTTCTGAGGTAAAAAGAAGCTCTGCTGTCTGTCAGCAGCTGGCTGGAAAAAAAAAATTATTTCAGAAAAGCCTGGGAAAATAATATGTTCAGTTCTGAATCATAGAATCATAGAATCATAGAATAGTTAGGGTTGGAAAGGACCTTAAGTTCACCTAGTTCCACCCCCCCTACCGTGGGTAGGGACACCTTACGCTAAATCATATCACCCAAGGCCTCGTCCAACCTGGCCTTGAACACTGCCAGGGATGGAGCATTCACAACCTCCCCGGGCAACCCATTCCAGTGCCTCACCACCCTAACAGGAAAGAATTTCCTTCTTATATCCAACCTAAATTTCCCCTGTTTAAGTTTTAACCCATTACCCCTTGTCCTGTCACTACAGTCTCTAATGAAGAGTCCCTCCCCAGCATCCCTATAGTCCCCCTTCAGATACTGGAAGGCTGCTATGAGTTCTCCACGCAGCCTTCTCTTCTCCAGGCTGAACAACCCCAACTTCCTCAGCCTGTCTTCATACAGGAGGTGCTCCAGTCCCCTGATCATCCTCGTGGCCCTTCTCTGGACTTGTTCCAACAGTTCCATGTCCTTTTTATGTTGAGGACACCAGAACTGCACACAATACTCCAAGTGAGGTCTCACAAGAGCAGAGTAGAGGGGCAGGATCACCTCCTTCGACCTGCTGGTCACACTCCTTTTGATGCAGCCCAGGATATGGTTGGCTTTCTGGGCTGCAAGTGCACACTGAAGCCAGCTCATGTTCATTTTCTCATCAACCAACACCCCCAAGCCCTTCTCCGCAGGGCTGCTCTGAATCTCTTCTCTGCCCAACCTGTAGCTGTGCCTGGGATTGCTCCAACCCAGGTGTAGGACCTTGCACTTCTCATGGTTAAACCTCATGACGTTGACATCAGCCCACCTCACAAGCGTGTCAAGGTCCCTCTGGATGGCATTCCTTCCCCCCAGCGTATCAACCGAACCACACAGCTTGGTGTC